ACTGTCGTCCATAAATAAATTTTTTATAAAATGAAACAATAAACCATTACGATGTACTATTTCTAAATGCAGTAATTGCAAAAAAATTTAAAGACAGCAAAGTTATATTTTCTTTTTCATTAATTTTTTCGATTGTTCCTATGGAAACTGTATGATTTACTGGTCTGATCCAGCTAGCCCCGATTTATGATATATACAACCAATATGGCTAGATCAATGTTGATGCTGAATACATATACTTTAAAAAAGTTGGAAAGATGTCCTTCAGTGCGTTATAAACTTTTGGTTTTACCTTGGCAAAAATGTAATCATTTATTTTTCAATAGACAAATAGTTATTTAGTTTTCGTTTATATTATTTTACTGCAATGAGTGTAAGGTGATTAGTAAAGTGTTGATGTCTTTGAACAAATAATTTTTTTTCACAGTTTTTTGTTGGTTTTTTTTATTGAGCAGAAAAATTTGAATTTTGAATAAGCAACTTATGTTACAGTAAGATCTAATATTAATTATAAAGTATGCACAACATTAAATACTAATTCTTAAGAACACAAATAATCATAAAAATAGATGAACAATACATTTAAATGAAGCATATAATTTTGTTTGTATGTATATCTTAAGCTTTATTCTTATAATATCATCGAAATTTAATCAAAATTTGTTCGTTGTTAATTCTGCATACTTCGTTTCCCTTTTTGGAGATGCTTAAAACCTCCTTAAGATTTCGCGTTGAGCAATCTTCAATCTTCAATGGCTTCCCTCCCCCATCTTTACTTACCAACTTTAATTTCAGACTGCAAATTGCATTGGAAATGCAAAAGGGAGACGAAGAGAAAAGGATACAGGGCGCAGAAAGGACGAAAAATCGCCTTTAATTAGCTCGCCTTTCGTTTAATGCAATCGCGAAAAAATATTTTTAATTTAAAACGCGTAATTCAATATCTCGAGTAATTTTATTTGCCGCCCACCCCACCAACACTTACAAGCGGCAACTGCGGGAGGGGGCGTGGCAGTTTGTGGGCCAGGACACAAAGTGCTGCCAGTCATTGTCGTTGTCCGTTGTCCTTTGTCCGTTGTCCGTTGTCCGTTTTTCGCGTGTCCTGTTCGATTTTTATGCCAGCACAAAGTTAAGTTGGACATTTTTGCGTGAACCTCGATCGATGCAGTATATACACTATATATATACGTATATTCATGCGATATGTGGGGCAGCATTCCGGGGAAGGGGAAGTGGATGGAGGGAGGTCATCCAACGCTGTGTAAATTGAGGCAGGAAATGCCGTTCGAGGGTTCAAAGTTGATGCTTTTCAGGTCAAGAGCTGTGCAGCAGCAGCAGCAGCAGCAGCAGCAACATCGAGGGCAGCTTGCCACTTGTTGTTGGTGCCACCGATGGTCAGTAATTTTACTGGGTTTTTTATTTGGTGCTGCTGCTTTTAAGTGGCGATCAAATTTCTTGATTGAAGCTCCAAGTGCAAGACAATGTGCAGCTGTTTGTCCTTAAACAGGATACTCCAAATGACCCGAAGACTGGGAGCCGAAAGTAATTGCAAAAATTGAAGCTAAATTGCAACAAACGGAGGAAGTCCCACTGGCCGGAATAGAAATTTGAGACCTTATCCGGCCTGGGAAGTCCTCCAAAGCAGCTTAAAGCAACCAACAATTTCATTATATTCTCGCTTGCATCGACAAATCTTTGTTTATTAACTAATCTTTGACAGACATTCGTTTTTTATGACACATTTTATTGTTACACGACACATTTTAAAGTTTTTTTTTTAAGTTTTTGATTTGACATAAAGAAATGGTATTGTAAAAATAAATATCTGACTATTAAATCTATAAGTGTATATTAAACATTTAAATTAAATATGAAATCATAACATTAAATACAATGCATATGTTTACAATTTAAATTAGAATTGAAAATATTAGATTTAACATTGTATAAATGCACTTTAAATTAAAATTAAATTATTCAGATATTTAAATCAAATCTGAAAAGAATCAAATGAAAAAATTTAAAATAACTAAAATCTCAATGGATCAAAATCAAAGACAAATATTTAAATTGAGTAAAAAATATTTGGACTTACTTTGTTTTTTTTTTACCAGTGTATGTAAAAAATAGAGTTCAAAATTGTACATATGCGTGGATGAATTTTAAATGAAACGATCGACATGTAATGGGTGAAAATAAAGTAAAAAGAGAGAACCGAATCCACAACTAGCCAAATCGTAGTTCCTTCCGAGGCCCCCAGACTCCAGACTCCAGATAATATTCAATGTGTCAAATGCAGTCGGGGATTCCTGCGCTCCTCAGCTCAAAAGATTCAAAAACATTTTTGCGTACAACAGGAAATTGATTTTTCATCGACAGCGGGGAATATCGGGAAGGCAGGGCGCCATGTCCTATGCAAATACTTTCAGACTGCAAAAAAAAATGTGCGTCACGCGGCGTTGCCACACTGCCAGACTGGCGAAAGAAATGACAATTTCTTTGGCTTCTTCTTCTTCTTCTTCTTCTTGTGCCCCGGCGGCGTGTCCTTCGCGTTCTGGGAAAGCTGTCAAAAAAGCTTCAGCAACAACTTCCGCTACATGGCAGAGAATTGGTGGAACGTGGGGCAGGATGCGACCTGCGCTCAAAAGTTAAGCCATTAGCGAAATGTCCTTTACTTTGCTTATAACGCAATTTTCTGCTTCTTTTCTCGGCCATGTGCCCCGCCCCGCCCCCTCCTCCTGCTCCTGCCCCCTTTTATGCCCCCCCATCCATTGTTTGTTTCGGACACTTTTTGGCCAGGTCCGTTCGGTTCGGTTCTGGTTTGGGTGCTGAATGACAACTTCACTTGTCAGCGTTTTGAAACTTTTGCGTCTCCCCTCGCCAGCGCTGGCTAACTTTTAGCAGCGCTAATGAAGTCGATGGATATTTTTTGGCTGTGTGAGAATGTTCCACAGAATCTGACAACATAATTAGTAAATGAAAAACTGTTTTATGTAATTCCCACTTTGGAGGTACAGCCAACAAAAACAATTGCTATAGGAACTCAAATATTATTAGATTAATTTAAAACTTTAGGGTATAAGATGGGTATTAAATGAAAACCACGAAATTATCAAAATAAAACTAAAGCCCCCTAAAACTAAAGCTTTCTTCGGTATAGAAATTAAACTAAAAAGTATGGCGGTTATATTATTAAGCATTGAATTAATGCATATACTTTAGTACTGTCTGTACTTGATTTCAGAAAACACTTATCAAAACTATACTTTTATTTTGTTTTTGATATTAGAAAACAATATAATAGGTTGTTAAATAGATTCAAATAAATATAAAAACATTTAGTGTGAATAAGTTGTTATTTTTATTAGTAAATATAAAGTATTTAAAATAATATATGAATTAAATGCTTTGGTTTGAAATCAAACTTAAATATGTATTGTACAGTGCTAATACATGTGTACGTTTATACAGTGGGAACTCAAAAGTAAAGAACTTATTTCGAGTTTAATTTATTTAAGCTGCTCCAAAGTTTATTGCAAATATTGAAGCAATGTCACATGAATAATTTGCAACTAGCAAATGGTTTAATTTTTTAACATAATTGTGTCGAATATATATTGTATGTAAAAATATTTTATTTAATTATTGAAATTCCGAATATGCGAACTTAAGCCTTCGCTTCATCCATATTTAATATGTATTTGTGAGTTAAAGAGGTATGTTTTTAATCCATTTGGAATGCTTCCGTTTTTAAAAAATTCATTCATCAATCTGAAAATGTTTCACTTTTGTTCTATGATGTAGAAAAAATTAAGATTACAAAATGGTTATAAAAGTCTTATGATAATTTGCATCACTACATATTAAACAAAGAACAGAAACAAATTTTGTCTTAAAATATGGTTATATGTTACATTGCACTGAAGTTTAGTCTCTAAAGAAATACATGAAATATGCAAAAATTGTCCTACGTTAAACTGCCGTCAAGTGATTTCGGGATTCACCTGCATTTGTTATTTCATTTCCTGGTGAAAATCAAAAACTATTCAAAATGCTGTTAACAGAGGCACTTCGATTTCGTAAAGTAACATTTTATTTTTCCGCCAACAGTGTCGATGTAAGCCGGCGGCGGTTCTGTTATTACACCTCTGTTAGGCCAGCCGCAGATAAATCTGAACGAAACAGTCTTGCAGCGCGTAACACGGTGGCATAGAATCCGCTCCCCTGCATTTTTCCCCTCAGTTGAACAGTTGTTGGCCAAAAATTAAACGCACTTTTTAACCTTCAAAACAGAGATTCGACCAGTTCTCTCTCGCTGCTCCGCTCTCTTGCCTGCTCTCTACTGCTCTCTGAAGCGATGCTGCAGTTGGCAGCGCTGCCGACGTATTGACTTGCGCAGAAGATGAGCAAGCAGCGCGCGCTCTCCTCCCACGACACTTGCGCTGTGCTCGCTCTCTGCTTTGCCAACTGAACGAAAAACGACAGAGCAGCGCAGAAAGAGCATAGATGACTGCCTAAATTTTAACATTTCTGCATATCTTAGACGAACGAAATGAGTATTTATCCGATGGAAAGTCACGTTCAAGTCACTTCTAAATACAGATCCAGAATATAAAAAACTTTGGATTTATCAAGAAAAAACTGAAATTCAAAAGTATTTAACTAACTAAGAACAGAAAACCAATCTTTATTGCAAAAGATACAATTAATTTGGATTTATTTCTAAAAACATTAAAATGTTAGCTTACTTCAAAAACCACAATTTCAACACAGTCACAAAGTAGTGTTTGCCGTGAAAATGCTTGCAGGGGATTTCTTTACAGCACTCGCTAACATTTGTGCATGGATGTTGTTGGCTTTCGGCTAACATCTCCATCGTCGGTCTTCGTTGAGTTGAACGAGTGGCGGAGAGTGAGAGCGAAGAGCGTTTCTAAGCTGCGCTCTCGCTCTCTCCGCTCCGTTCCACCGTTCTCCCCACAGATTCGCTTTGTCGGTCCGTTTTGCGCTCATTCGTGTTTTGAAACTCGCCTCGCACGGCTGTAACGGTTCTCGGTTCAAACTCGACGTCGCCGCTCGAGCGTTCGCCTCCACAATCGGAAAATGTGGATATACGAAAAGTAGCGAGGAAAGCGCGCTGCTGCCAGTTGAAAATATTGAAAGTATTGCAAATATTGCAAATTGGGAAACCGTGAAAAACCTCAAGAGATGATGCTTCGATCTGTCGAATTCTAACTAAATTCCAAACGATCGCCTCGCCGCGCAACCAAAACAAACAAAAATCCCCCCGTGAAACTCGTCGCGTCTCTGTACTCCATCGTGTGTGTCCCCCGTGTTTTTGAGTGTACGATTGCCTGAAGGAAAGGAAAGGCCCCAAGAAATATTATTTCGGCCTCGGCCGACTGTGAATTGAGTCGAAGTTGTGATTTTGTTGGAACAGCTTTATATGTATTAACCAAACCGCCTGGCAATGGAAATCGAAATGGAAATGGCCCAGTAAAAAATGTTTTCGAGTGCAGTGCGCCAGTGTTGTCGAGTGCATGAATAATCGGGAGTGACCGCAAAAGTCAACGCTTCTCTTCTCTGCTTTGCTTTGCTCTGCTCTGCTCTGCTCTTCCCACTCCCACCGCGGAGTCCTCCTCTCCTCCTCTTCTTCTGTCCGGCTGTCCGGCTGTCTGGCCAAAAGCCCCAAAAAACCGCCAAGATTAAGTTCTCAAAGCAGCACGCCCACCACGCGTACCGCCACACGGACAACATCTACGACGGCGGCACGGACACGGACGACGACGAATGTCCGCTGGAGGCGACCGCCATGAATCCCTACGAGTATGAGTCCACGCTCGACTGCCGCGACTCGGGCGGCGGTCCTGCCCCGCCCCATGCCCATGCCCTCGCCGTCGCCCATCCGCACGCCCAGGGACGCACACTGCCCATGAGCGGTCACGGGCGGCCGGTGGCGGACCTCAACGCGTCCGCCGCCCACGGCAGCCAGACGCTGCAGCACCAGAACCAACAGAACCAGCAGGCCGCCCAGCAGTCGCACTACGACTACGAATACCAGCACCTGGCCCACCGTCCGCCGGACACGGCCAACAACACGGCGCAGAGGACGCACGGCAGACAAGGTGAGTTGAGTTCGGCGGAGGCGGTTGCCACCGATCCGTATTATCCGGTATTATGCCCAAGGATATACGATAGTGCACCGATTTTCAATTCCTAGAACATTTCACTAGGTTTCATGCTTAGGATTCCATAGTTACAAATTCAGAATTAATGTTGTAATGCCGTTAATTATCACAAGAAAAGTTGTTGTTTAATTCACTATATGTATAGTAAGTGAAGTGTAAGCGTAGTCATTTTATATAAATTCATAAACAAAGAAATCGAGTTCCTTATTAATATTTATGTGTTTAATTTGAAGTTAAAGGATTCCATCGTTACAAATTCAGAGGGATTATTGCAATGCTGTTAATAATCATAATAATAATAGTTGTATTGCCTGAGAAATATTAAAAAAAAAGACTATTTAATTTACTATATGTATAGTAAGTGAAGTGTAAGCCTATTCATTTTTTATAAATTCATGAACAAAGAAATCGAGTTCCTTATTCATATTTATGTGTTTGGTGTTAAAATTAAAAAATTCCAAAGTTACAAATTTAGAGCGAAGAAGGTTGTAATGCTGTTAATAATTACAAAAAAAATGTGTATTGCTTGAGAAATGTTAAAAACGTGGTTGTTTAATTTACTGTGAGTGAAGTGTAAGCCAAATCCATTTTATAAATTCATGCACAAAGAAATCCAATTCGATACTCGTATTTATGTGTTTGGTTTAAACAAAAAGCTAAAGGATTCCATAGTTACAAATTCAGAGATAATGCTATAATGCTTTTTTTATTAGCAAGAAAAGTTGTAATGCTTGGTTGTTTAATTTACTATAAGTGAAGTGGAAGGACTATGCCTTGTTATAAATTCAAGAACAAAGAAATCCAATTCAATATTCATATTTATGTGTTTAGTTTAAACAAAAGGCTAAAGTCTTCAATTTGTTTCCTTGTCATTTAAAATAAAAGCATTTGTTGATTTAAATTGAATTGTGCTACTAAAACCGTATGAAACTCAAAAACTAAAGTTGTGTTAAAAGAAAAAAAAAAAACATAAATAGGTTTTATTTTAAAAAGAGAATATTTTGTTTACTTTAATCATCAAAATTTAAGAACAATGACAAACATTATTTGATTTTGGTTATGTAGCAAAAAAAAACTTAAGTGTTTGCCAAATTCAAGAAGCACAATATAGTAAAATTAGTAAATTAATAGTAAAATTTCTGTGTGAATTTCCATGTTATCTGCTAGTCGGCAGTAATTATTACTTCGAAAATCATTGAGGCAAAGGGAAGGTTGCGACAAGTTTGAACAAATTACTCCGCTTATCGCCGAATGCGGACAAACATTTTGCATAAATTAAACAAATTAAGGCGGCATCCCAGCGCTGGGAGTGGTCCTCGTCTGACATTGAGCCCGCTCTTGTTTCATATTTCATAATTTCCCTTTTTCCAACTGAGCGCGTTTTTTCACGATTTGTCTGATTAATAAAGCGAGCGCAACAATAGCCCGCGCACAAAGCGCATTTGAAAAGGATACTCTCTGCCAGTCAGTCAGTCAGGAATTAGGGGAATCCCAGACGGTGTCCCCATCCCCGCAAAATGCCTGCGGCTGGGAAATACTCGAGACCTCTGAGAGGAGTTCGGTTTCAGTGGCCGATTGTACACTGTTGGAAAACAAGGTCCTCAAAACAGTTAAAAATTTTTTGGTACACTTCAAAATATATATTTTTTTGTTACTTAAAATTTCTCATTTGTTCTGGTTTGTTTAAATAGAAAAGTACCTTATGAAGTTTGATATGAAAATAACATTTCAATGAGCAATTTCCCAAAAATGTCTCATTTCTTTGAATATTTGTTTTTACATCTTATCATCTTAGGTAATTTTATTAAGTCATAAAAAATGGGATACACTTGTTCACATTTGTAGATATTAAATTGATCAAAAAATGCTTGTTAAAAAAATATAAAATGGTAGAAATGAAGAATCTTAACAAACTCGGTAATTGCCTTTTGCGGGAGTTGAGATGTCTTTTGATCTTGCTGCTGATCTATGCTAGTTTAGCCAAACCTATCAGCACCTTCGAGGCTCTTCCAGACCTATCCAATATTTAACCAATTCCTTTCTTCGACCATGAGCACACTAACCACAAATACATACAGACATACATACATACATACATGCTTCGACATGCTGGAGTTTTATTATTTCCGACTTTGCTTCTTGGCATTTGAACTTACACATAAAACGGAATTTACATAACTTTATTTCTGGCATTTCCTCTTTGAGCTTCCCCTGCTCCGCCTTTTCCTCATCATCATCTTCATCCTCATCCTCATCCTCATCCTCGTCGTAGTCATCGCACATTCCCGTCCTCGCCTTGGTCTTCTGCTGGCTTTCAGCGTTTTTGTGGTGTTATAAAAACAATTGCCAAACAATTGAAGCTTTGAAACGAAATAAAAATCAAATGGAAATCGAACCGGGCGGAGAACGTGTGGGTGTACGCTACCCGCTACCTGGCAGCAAAGCGAAAAAATTGTACATTTACAGCAACAAATAAATTTCGTAACTGGCAAACAATAAATTCCTGAGACCCGAAGACTTGCGAGAATTTCCTTTTTCTGCTTTGGCGCAAGAAATGAAATTGAATGAAGTGCGCCAAGAGGGGGTGCAAATTTGGGCGGGCGAAGGTCGTAAATTTTCAACACTTCACCAGGCACCAGCTTTTCCCCGCCCCCCCTCTCTCGCAACCCAGTGCCTGTCATAAAATTGCCAAAAAGCCAAAAACAGGAAAGAGCGAAAAGTATACGCGTGGAAAAGCAGTGGGAAATTCTTTCGCTCCCACTTTGACGCTGTTTTGATGTGTGAAAATCTGCTCGAAGCGGGCAGGCCGACATTTCAATGTCTCAATGCTTGATTTGTCAGCCGCCAATTAGCCAAATTAGGTCGAAAAAAACCGACCCGCTCTTGGCCACTCTGCATTATTAAACGCAAACCGCAGGCAAGTCCAAATCCAACTCCAGATGGCCTCCAAAGCCAATCACAATTCCCCTCAACAATGCCAAAGCTGAAAGCGAAAAAAAGCCGCGAAACACGCAACTAATTTCGAAAATGGAAGCTCAGCAAGGTCACCCACTGAATCGGAATCGGAATCGTCATCGGATTCAGATTCAGATTGGGATTGGATCGGTGTCGGGAATCAGAGTGCATAGCCATTTCGATTTTCTCACACTGAGTTTTCCAGCAGCGAACAGAACAGAAAAGAACGGAATGGAATGGAATATTATTTGTTTATGCCGCGCCCGATTAGTTTATGGCCCGCCCTAATGAGGCCACTTTGTTTATTTTGGTCTTGGCTACAATTTTGCAAAATGAAAATCTCCTTTCGTACAATTGTTTCGAACAGCTTAACACTTGCTAACACTTCGTCTGTGGCTGTAGCTGTGCCTCTGGCCCCATAACCAAAACAATTCCGATTTGTTTGGTTGGCGTGGTGTAATTACACGGGTGCGGTCGTTTCCCCAAGTGATTCGGTTCGATCGGACTTGTCGGCTTGTCTCGCATCTTGGCATGGGCATGTTTCAATAATTTTGTGCTTGCGCCCAGCTCCCACTTGTTTTCCACGAAGATCGCGGCGCTGGCTATTTACGGTTTTCGGTTTTGGCAGGGGGGCAATATTATAAGTATTTTTGAGTGAGTGCCTTTTGCCGGGGCTTCCTGTGCGTCACAGATTGTAAGGGGGAGCTTCGGTGAGTCAGCAGGAACCTTGGACAGCATTTGAAGGCGGAATTCGATTGAACAATGATGGAGAATAGTTTTCAGCACGCATTGCCTTTAATACGCATCTATAGAAAGTTAACTATAGTATACATAAATGAAATTTCTCTAGGTATACTTAAAATAATTGAAAAAAAGGGAATTATACTTAATCATAAATGTAAACGAACTAGTTTTGATGACCATAGAAAGTAAAGTTACAGGTAAACTAAATTCTTTATATCGTAGTTACGAAAGTTCAACTTGTTTGTATGTATTAAAAAAAGAAAGAAAGTAAGAAATACCAATTATCTGTTTTTGCAAACTATTTATTTAGAAGAATTATATTCTTCATGATAAAAATACATACATATGTACATATGTGCGATACCATTTTTGGCCTGAAAGCGGCTTCCGCTCACTAATCCTCGCTGGCAGCTAAGCCGCTTATCGGCTAATCCCCAAAATCAACCTGAGAAAGGACCTCGGCCGGCGTTAGGCCCTTAACGACACCACAAAGCCCAGCTGTCATATTTGGGGGCACCTGTTTGGGGGCCAATCGAATACAAAAATGGTAAATTTTCGAATTTGATTTTGGTTCGTTGTGTTGTTGGCTGCTTTTGTTGCCATTGTTGGTGAACTGGGACTTCTGGCTGCCACATTTGTAAAGTGTCGGCCAGGATTTTTTCTGCGCTCTGTCTCTCTCGTTCACAACTGTCAATGTCAGGAGATGCAGACTAGGCGCCGGCACCGAACGAAATTCCAACTTATTACTTCCTGACAGCTGTCAAAAAATATGCAAACACCCAAACAAACAGCAACAACAACGGGGGAAAACTATGCGTCGAAATGTGCGCAGAATTATGTAAATCAAAGCGATTTGTAGCAGGCAAAAAAGCAAAAAAGGCAAAAAAGGCGAAAAAGCAAAACTGAAAAAAGGAGTGGCAAAAAGGTAGAATAGAAAAATTGACAGCGACGGGGAAATTCAAAATGTCGAGGGCAGAAAGAGCTGTGGGTCGTATGGTGGAGGGCGGAGGGCGGAGGGGGAGGGCAGGAGGGGCGAACCGTAGCCATAACCATGGCTATGGATGGCAGCGGAATGCTGGGAAAATTACACGTTAACAGCAGGAGGCCAACAACGCCTTCTCTGCTCAACCGTGTTCTTTATGTTTTTGCGAAAAGAAAAACACACACACACAAAAGAAAGGACGCACAAAAGACCTTTAAGCCCACACACTTCAGAGGGAAAAGGAGCGGATCCCAGG